GGGTTGTTTCCACATCTTTGCAATTGTGAATTGTGCTGCTATAAACATTCGGGTGTAGGTATCTTTCTTATACAGTATCATTTGGTCTTTTGGGTAGATGCCCAGCAATGGGATTGCTGGATCGAATGGTACTTCTACTTGTATCTCTTTAAGGTATCTCCATATTGCTTTCCACAGAGGTTGCACTACTAACTCATTTTCTACCCAACCTCCAAGGTAATAATTCTAAATTTGAATCCGGTTTTGCTGCTTCCTTGGTTTTAGATTTTGCCATTCATGAGAACAGTGATTAGCTCTGCTGTATTTATATTGGTAATAATCTATGCAGTATTAATATTAGCAGTAATCCATGTCACTGTCCCCCACCTTCCTGGGAATTGTTTTAAGCTACTTGTGCATTTTGTGAAGGTTACTCTCACAATGTAGTCTATAACTGCATTTAACTGGAAAACATTTGATCATGAAGTTTTTACTTCTATTACTACCAAATATATGAAAAGGATGCAATTCTGTTCTTTATACCTCATTGCATTGTCTTCTTTCCTCTCATACATGCTTACAGCAATCATTACTTTACCCAAAACTAGCAAAGTGGTAGCCTTTAGGCAGAATCTGACCCTTTTATATATATATATATGTGTGTGTGTGTGTGTGTGTGTGTGTCTGTGTGTGTGTGTGTGTGTGTGTGTCTGTGTAAAATGATTGAATTATAATTTAAAAAGTCATGAGATTGTAAGTTAAAATTTAGATTTCAAACTTTTTTTGAAAAAATTTGGAAAACCAGCACCGAAATGTGCACTTTCCTGCAAGGCAGTATTTATCCAGAGCTGAGGAACTATTGCACCTTCTAGACAGACAGCCTGACTACTCCTCTGATACTCAATTCTCACTCAGATAGCTTCATTCTTGCTCTGCATACCTAGTCGTTTAAGTCATTTGGGTTTTGGACCTCTGCTCTACTATCGGCTATAGAGATTCATGGTGTTTGTCTTATCCTGCCCAATATCAGAAGGAAAAGGCCCTCGCAGAATTTATTTCCCAACTTTGTAGCTTCTTCATTGTCTACCATGGTGCTTGTCATATAGTGAATGTTCAGTACATAAGTTTGTGTAGAATTGAATGATACGCACACATGACATACAACAAAATGTGCCCAAGCTGCTTGAAATCACCTGAAATCATGCATTTGTTTCTCAAATTGATTAAATGTCTTGTCTTTTTGGTTTAGTTGGTTTAGTTATTCACCTGCGTATTCGTTTTACTCTGTTTATCCTACCTTGCCTTCCTTCAGTGGAAAGTTTCTAGATGGCAGGATTCATTAATTTCATTGCCCTTTGTACCATATTGAGTGTCAAATAGTGCACAGGTAAGTATCATTGCTGAATGTAGAAACCATATCTGTATTTTTTTATTTCAATGGTAATTAAGTTGTTAAATATGTAGGTAGCATAATCACATTATTGGCAATAATAAACTTCCCAAAACACTAATTTGAAGCCATATCAAGTTGAGACTCAACTGGAACTATTTAATGTCTGTAATTAGGATAATGTTGACTAAGGGGTCTCCTGTGGCTACTAGAAAGAATTAATCCCCCAAACGCAACAGATGATAACATCAGTGGCTTGTACTAAGAGG